GAACCACCAACTAGCCCAAAAGCGGCACTGTGTCCACAGCAGTTTGCAAAGAAAGCAGAGATACTGTGGGCAGTTGATGTTTTGCTTTCAATACATTCTTTTTGATTAAGTGCAAATAAATCTGAATTATTTACTGCAATGTTTAGTGATAGTCAAATAGCTAAACAATTTTCTTGTGGGAAAACAAAGTGCACTTATCTTGTATGCTTTGGAATTGCACCATATTTAAGGAAATTTTGTGTGAGACATTATCAGAGCTTGATCAGTTTGTTTGCCAATTTGATGAATCTTACAACCAAGTTGTCAAGAAAAGTCAGATGGATTTGCATGTTAGATATTGGGACTCCTCATTAGAGATGGTAAAACAAGATATTTCAACTCTGAATTCTTGGGAAAAGCTGCTGCTGTCGATATTATGATAAATTTCGGTAAGTGTATGAGTGGTTTAGAAGAAGATAAAATACTCCATGTTTTCATGGATGGTTCAAATGTTAACATGTCTTTCCTCTCTAATTTGAATGCTAAGAGAAGTGAATGTGAACTCAGTCAGTTAGTATCAATTGGATCATGTGGCCTTCACACAAATCACTGTTCATTCAAAAATGATACAAATGCTTCAGGATGGAAATTGCTGTCTTCATTGTTTAAGATATTCCATGAGAGCCCTTCTTGTCGTGCTGATTTCAAAAAAACCTTACTCAAGCTCAGTCTTCAGATTATGCTCTACAGTTCTGTAGCCATCGTTGGATTGAAAATGAGAAAGTAGCAAAGAGAGCTACTTTGAGCTGGAAATGGCCCAAGATTATTGTGATTATTGACTTTTGGAAAAATTTACCAAAAAGCAAGCACCTAGTCAATGTAAGCCTGGGCAAAATACTACCTTTCTTCATGGTATAAAGATGTGTTAGTCCCTATAAAGTTGCAACTTTTTTAGGAAACTGCAAAACTGTTAAATTCTTTTTTATTAGTTTTCCAAACTGACAATCCTATGACACCTTTTCTTGTGGAAACACTTGAGAATTTACTAAGGCAATTTTTATCAAAATTTATCAAAAAAAAAGTTTTGTCTGAAGCATCCACAATTTTTAAATTATTAAAAGTTGATATCAGTGATGTCAAAAATCAAGTGTTGGTTGCAAATATTGATCTTGGGTTTGGAATAAAATATGAGTTACAGCAACTGAAATCTAGATAAAAAGTTACTGATGCACAAATCTATAAATTTAAAACAGAAGTTCAACAGTTTTTAGTTACAATGTGCAAACATATGGTTAAAAAAAGTGTTCTAAACTCATACTTTGCCAGATACTTATTATGTTTATCACTTTTGTACATGGTTGAATCTCATGAGATGTGTGAACTTTATTTTGACAAGTCGTTGCTGAAATTAGTTGCTTATAAAAAGGTATCACCTTCAGTTGCTGATCAAGCCAAATTACAGTATTCACAATTTTTAACTACTATATTGAAAGCGAACAAGGAAAAATTTATTGGGTTCAAAAAAGAAAGTGATAGATTGGATTCTTTTTTGGTTCAATATACAGATGCTTCAAGATTCAAGGATTTAATGAAAATTTACCAATTGTTACTAATATTGTCCCATGACCAAGCACAGGTAGAGCGTGGATTTAGTATAAACAACCAACTTCTGGATAATAATATGCTAACTGATACTCTTGTTGCACAGAGAATTGTACATGACCACATGTGCAGTGAAAATATAAAATCATCCCAATTTGCTATGACAACTAAACTTATAGGACATGTTAAGGATGCACAAAAACTATACTTTAGCAGTCAGAAAGAGAAGTCTTTGAATGCTTTAAAAACTGACCATGATACTAAACTGAAAAATTTTAATAAAGAGATTACTAGTTATAATGAACAAGTTCACACCCTTGAAGGTACCATATTTCAGATCAGATATGATGCAGATGAGTATGCATTGCAAGCGGAAAAGCAGAAATTGTTGATAGAAACAATGTCAACAATTCTAAAATCTAATGCGCTAAAGAGAGTTGCCTCTGGAAAGCAGGACTTACTAGAAAAAATTACAGCAGCAAAAAAAGTACTATTTTAAATAACAGACTATTTTAAATAACAGTGTTTAGGCCCTAATTTTATCTTAATTATTTTAGCTAAACATTTTTACAGTTTTTAAATAAAATGAAAATTATTTACTGCCACTTTATTTTTGAAATCCTCCTAAAATCTCCTAACATTTTTATCCTTTTTTTTTCAAATTTCTCGATAAATCTCCTTAAAAACCTTTAAAAATCTTCTATATTATCCTAAATTATCCTAATATTTTCAGACAAAAAAAAGTGTAGCCACCCTGTTTCTACACCAGCAATGTTTCAGTAACTCCTGCATGAGGCAAGTATGACTCAACAGCCAAATACGAGAAGAAACTGCTCGTCTGGCTTTGCTTTTCAGAGCATGGCATTTCAGCGAGCGAGTGTATTTAAAAGAGATTAATGCTTTTTATTGCAGAGCACCA